TTGCCCCAGGTGACGTCATCAACTCCCTACCCCCGTACAGAACGGTTTGGGCAAGTTACCGTCTGCCGCCCCTGAGGCGCCGGACAGTTTGCCAGAACCTTTTTGGAGCCGACCAAAAGTCTTCCTCCATGGCCTCACCAAACTCCTCCCACACCCGAGTTTTTACCTCTGCAACTGCCCCGGCTGCAGACTGCTTAGCCAACAGGTATCGTTCAGCTGATTCCGGAGACCCACAGGCCATCCATGACCTGTAGGCCTCCTTCTTCAGCCTGACGGCCCACTCACCTCTGGTGTCCACCACAGAGTTCAGGGATTACCGCCACGACCGGCACCAGCGACCTGCACCAGCAGCTCGCAACTGCTGCTTCAACAATGGCAGAGCTGAACAAAGCCCATTTGGACTCAATGTCCCCCTCTGCCCCCGGGACACAGTTGAAGCTCTGTCGGAGGTGGGAGTTGAAAGCCAACCTGACGGGTTCTTCCACCAGGCGTTCCCAACAGACCCTCACTATACGTTTGGGCCTGCCAGGTCTGCGTGGTGGCTTCCCCCGCCACCTGACCCAAATCACCACCAGGTAGTGATTAGTTGACAGCTCTGCACCTCTCTTCACCCGAGTGTCTAAAACATGCGGCTGCAGGTCAGCTGATACGACTACAAAGTTGATCATTGACCTACGGCCTAGGCCATCATGGTGCCAGGAGCACCGATGAACAACCTTATGTTTGAACATGGTGTTAGTTATGGACAAACTGCGACTCGCACAGAAGTCCAACAACTGAACACCACTCGAGTTCAGATCAGGCAGACCGTTCCTCCCAATCACGCCCCTCCAGGTCTTGCTGTCATTACCCACGTGAGCGTTGAAGTCTCCCAGCAGAACAATGAGTCCCCAGTCGGGGTGCTGTCAAGCGTCCGTCCTAGGGCCTCCCAAAAGCGTGGGTACTCTGAACTATTATTCGGTGCATATGCACAGACAACATCAGGACCCGTTCCCCGACCCGGAGGTGCAGGGAAGCAACCCTTTCATCCAGCCGAGAAAACCCCAGCATCCCCACGGCGAGCTTTGAGGCAAGCAAGAATCCCACCCCTGCTCTCCGCCTCTCACCCTGAGCAACTCCATCGTAGAAGAGTGTCCAACCCCTCTCAAGGAGTTGGGTTCCAGAACCAACGCTATGCGTAGAGGTGAGCCCGACTATATCTAGTTGGTAGCGCTCAGCCTCCCACACAAGCTCCAGCTCCTTCCCCGCCAGAGAGGTGACGTTCCATGTTCCAAGAGCCAATTTTCACAACCTAGGATCAGACCGCCAAGGCCCGCTCCTTGGTCCCCCGCCCAATCCGTCAAACACCGGACCCTTCAAGTTCCTCCTGCTGGTGGTGGGTTCAAAGGAGGTGGTGCCCATGTGGCTCATTTGGGCTGAGCCCGGCCGGGCCCCATGGGTGCAGGCCTGACCACCAGGCACTCACCGGCGTGCCCCAACCCCGGGCCTGGCTCCAGGGTGGGGCCCCGGTGTCCCTCAGTCCAGGTACACTTCCCTTCAGTGTATTCCATTAGGGTCTTCTGAACAGTTCTTCGTCTGACCCTTCCCCTAGGACCAATCTGCCTTGGGAGACCCTACCAGGGGCAAGAGGCCCCGGATAGCATTGCCCCTAGGTTCATTAGAGCACACAAACTCCTCCACCACAGTAAGGTGATGATTCTTGGAGGAGCATCAGTTGGATTGTTTCTTCAGAAACCGCAAAAACTCTCTGAATGACCCGCTGATACATCCACAGATAACCCTGCAGATGACCAGCTTCAGTCATTTCCCCCTCCACAAAAGCAGCTTTATGACTTTTTTTACTTTATGACTTTATTCTCCCAAGTTTACAACTTTAGTCTCTAAGTCTTAAAAAAAAAACCTCAATATGTCAATGATACTCTGCTGTAGTTTTGTCAGCTTTCTTATTTCTAATGTTTTTGATTGTGGTTGCAGAGCAGATCAGTTCGTCACTAATGAGTTTAATGTTTGGTTTGCAGATTTTAGTGAGTTCAGAGATCATGCGCTCATACAGCCTGAGCTGACTGTCCACTGTTTTTGGATTTCTTGTATTTTCTTTGAAGACGCGCTGTGTCTCCAAGTGAGACCAGCCTCTTACCCGAAATGCGCAGCTGTGCAGCGGCACGCAAAGAATTCTGGGATACCAAAGCCACGAAAGTGTGCATAAATGCATGCTTCAAAAACTGGCAGGGGTAGTGTGGTTTTGAGACTGAATTTGAAGCGTGCTTAGCATTTCGTGCCAAATGGGACACCATTCGCGCTGCGTGATGACATCACGCACACTTCAAATGCACCATTCGCTGGTGCAGTCTCTGAAATGAGACACAGCCAAGGTCTATGGTAAAAACCCATATACTGTATATACTTTGGACAACTTGGTTCCCGCCTGTATACAGATTTGAAGCCAAAAAGCTCTCGGTATTTCCAGGATTTTTCTTCATTTCCTGAAACCAGCGCTGCGCAGTAGCGATGCCCGCATTCGGACGCACAGTCGCCAAGAGTTGCTGTAATGACGCTCAGCACAAACAGCGTATCCCCAGGAGAGCTACTCAATCCCTGAACGCCCATAGACATGAACCCCTTAATAACTTTTAAAAACGGAGCCGTACAGAAAAAAGAGGACTTGAGCAAAAACCAGTCTTACAATAACTACATGTCAACATCACAAGCAGGGGGGGGGATTTATGTTCTGTGTAATAAATTTCTAAAGTTTGTCCACAGCTCCATTAGCTTTGCATTAGCTTTGCTGGCAGAGGCGGGATTTATGACCTATACTGCAGCCCATCAACAGAGGGTGCTGTTCTTGGAGTGGCTTTACCCAGAGAGGAGGCAGACTCTGTCCATTCTTTATACAGTCTATGTAAAAACCTTTCAAAGAAACTGAGGGTGGTGTTGGCTTAAATATAGAAACTGGAGCCATGAAATAACATTGTGAATTAAAAAAGAAATACATTTAGTCTGGATCTTGGGGAAAATGGATTTGAGTGTTTTATTCTTGATGGAGACTTGCACACATTTCATTTTCATGTTCTATCTTAAGCAGCAGTACTACTGATGACAGTTGCTGTGATGATTTTAAATAAAAAGTACTTCTCCGGACTTAAAATAACACTTTTTTTCACTTTATCAAATGAAGATTACACATTTGGATGCAAATTTAATCATTCTTGTGCTGGGGCTTGATCTTGTGATACAAAGTTTTACTGTGGAAATAATGAAACTCACAGGTGACAAAGTTTAATGTCTGTTCAGCATCTTAAATGTCCAGTGTAATTTTGTTGCACTTATGGTAGAGGAGAACCAGGAAAGACAGCAGCATTCCTTCATGTAACCTTCAGTGTGTATATATATATATATATATATATATATATATATATATATATATATATATATATTCATTGCTCACATTTCAAGACAAACCAAACACTGACTGATGGTTCTTTCTATTTCTAGGGTGGGATGCAACTGCAAGTCTGCAACTCCAGGGAACACAGATCTGCCATATGACACAGGAAGCTGGTGTGCTGCTCTACATTTGACTGTACTTTCAGTCTGATCCACTGCATGTCAGGCCGCTTTCTGTAGTAAAATAAATAATGTTTAATTGTGAGGTATTTGTAGGGCCTTTTAGGGACTTTTAACTCCCTCAGAGTTTCTTTGAAAACAGTTGAAAATAACAAATTTATCCCACTTACCAAAATCCTCTCTGGAATAATTACAATAAGCATAAAATAATTTGCATTTCGTACTACAGCCACAGCTATTATAATAAATCATAAAAAACAGGGTTACAAATCAGAGACAAATGTAAGGAATACAATGCCTAAAAATGAAAAAGTTTAATACAACTGTGGTGATTAAACAACATTAAGGATGAATAAATACTGGAGACAAATCTAACCCTTTCGTTGCTACAAGCTGGTTTAAATACACAAGTGTTTAGCTTTAAATGAAATTAATATGATTATTTCCCCCAAATTATATCTTATTTTCTCTTATCTGATCACTTAGTGGGTCTATATCACATGCCAAAGTGAAAATGTAAACATTTTGGAGACACATGATGGATAATTAGATTTTCTCCAAAGTACCTTAAATGAATCTTCTGGCATGCATAGTGATTCCAATCTTTATGATTTTGTACATGGAACCAAAATTGCAAACAACTTAAGTGGGAAATGTTGCCATAAAATCTACCTCCAAAATACAGACAAAAATTACTCCAAGTTATGGTTCTGGTAAAAGCTTACAGACATGAACCAGGGAAGGCATGACCATTTCTCTGTTACCCTACAGAGCCCGCTTCAATTCTTACCAAACATCTGCAGGGTTTAGCAGAAGAAAAACAGTTAGACTGATGTGACCTGACCAAAAAGGACAGCCAAGTTCAAGGGCACTTAAATCTTGAGTTTTCTAGTTATCATTAATTATAGCTGATCTAAAATCCAACTGCTCTTACAACACAAATTTAATTGAAGTTGGTAGGCTGTGTCATGATGTGCAGTGTTTCTGATGCTTGTCAAGTTGTGATGGCAGGCAGGATGACCTCAAGGAATATTTAAGTTGTTTTTTTTTTTTACGTGAAGCTGTATGAGTTACATGTCACCACTTAGTGTATCAGCTGCTCTTGACACCAGTGAGATTGCCACACTTAATAAAAAACTGCTAGAAAAACAGCATGCAATCAAGGCTTCAGATTTCTGCGGAAGGGGCAAAACGCTGTGATGTGACTAATTCTGAAAAACTCTGACTCCAGCACTGATCTCCATTCAAATGCATCCCCATGAGATGTGTTTCACCACTGAACACTCTAACACCACAAGATGTTTACTGACATCAATCACTCTGTTTTTTTCTCACCTTAATCAAGTGTGATGGCTAAATATAATGTTCGTGAGAATCACACAGAACAAGCCTACAAATTCACACTACAACAAAAGTCAGATCCTGGAACTTTCTGAGCAGAGCTTGCTGTCAACAGTCAAGGTAAGACCACAGAGTTTCTGAAACAAAGAGTTTAATTTTCCTTTAAAATCAAATTATTCTATTTGTTAACTCAGTATTATCTGATTTCAGTTAAAATACTGAACAATGGTTACTGACTGATTCTTTTGTTTATATCAGTTTTGGTGTCCACGTTGTCAAACCCTTCTCTGTAGATGGCTAAGCTTTGGCCTCTCTTGCTCCTGTGCTGGGCATGGAGTCCTCTGTGTGTGCCGTCCAGTATCAGCTTCACTGGTACTCCTCAGGAGTGTGAAAAGGCTCACTTTGTGCCTGGCTACAACCTGGGAGGAGAAGGTTTTGACATTGTCACAATGGAGCGGAAAGGGGCCTATGTAATTGATACTGACTCCTGGAAGCTCGGCAATGGCACCTGCAAGCTTTACAGAAACTCCTACATGGAGGGTGAAATCCAGAAGGTCCCGGCTGCAGTGGAGGACTGGAGAGTCCTTCCCAAGTGCAGTTCAAAAATCTCCAGTACAGTCTATGACTCGGTTGAAACCCTTGTCAATGCGTCCACATCGTCTGTGTCCAATGACTGGAAAATCGGCCTTGAGATCCCTGTGCCTAGTTCTGCCACTCTTGGGGTTGGCTTTGGAGGTTCCCACTCCAGAGAATCTACCTTTGCCATGGAGAAGTCCAAAAGAGACCACTACACCTTCATGAGGCACTCAGTCCACTGTAGCTTCTACCGGTGAGTACGCAGTCAGATTTTTTAACCATCCTGTCACAAACTCTGCATGTCTCTGTGTACTTCACTGTTTTTAAGCCATCACAACTTTGAGATAGCCATCCATGCTCTAATCAGTTCAAGATCAAACTGTTGTAATGCACTTTATGTTGGCATCTCCCAATCATGTCTTAGTTGCCTTGTATAGTTAACTTGTATAAAATGCTGCTGCCCGTCTTTTAACAACAAACACTAACAGACATGAGCACATCACTCCTGTCCTTAGCTCCCTTCATTGACTTCCCGTCTCTTACAGGATTAATTTTAAACTTTCAATGTTTGTTTTTAAAGCTTTTAATGGCCTCGTCCCCATTTAACTGAGCTTTTAACTAAGCCTGGTAGAGCTTTGAGGTTGTCAAACTAACTTCTGCTGGAAGTGCCCAGATCAAAATACAAACACTGGGGTGACCGAGCCTTTTCAGTTGCTAGTCCGAGGCTCTGGAATTAGCTCCCCACCGAAATGGCACTTATTTCTGACCTGGGCCTTTTCGAATCTCCACTGAAAACGTATTTATTTATGCAGGCTTTTAAAACCCAGAACGGTGGTGACACTTTTACTTTATTTTATTGCGTTGTATTTTATTCTTTTTTATTTTATTGCTTTAATTGTTTTTATAGCTTTTTATTGTTTTTATTTATTCATTTAATTTACTATGTATTGTAAAGCACTCTGGTTTACCGAACGGGTTGTTGTAAAGGGATGTATAAATAAAGAACATAACCATTTACATTTAATATAAGGCTGTGATAGACTGAGACTAATGTTGCATTTCTCATGCTTCGTAGATACAGAATGAAAACCAATCCGTCTTTGAGTCCTGACTTTCAATCAGCAGTGAGCTCCCTTCCTCCATATTCATCCAAAACAGTCCTGACGTATCGCAGAGCCATCGACACCTATGGTACACATTACATCACACAGGTGTATCTGGGAGGGGAAATAAAAGCAACCACTTCAGTCAGGACCTGCGAGTCATCCGTTAATGGACTTTCCACAACCGAAGTCAGTGACTGTTTGTCAGTTGAGGCCTCAGCCAGCTTTGCAAGCACTGCCAGCATCAAGGCTATGACCAAGCACTGTGATGCAAAAAAGAAGAAGTTAGGCCATGGTCAGAGTTTTAGCAGTACATTTAGTGAGCGCAGCACTGAGGTCACTGGAGGAGATATTACTGAAGTTAATGTCCTCTTTGAAGGGCAGGCCAACCCTACTGTCTATAACAACTGGCTCCGTTCACTGAAATACACACCTGATGTGATTCAATACAAAATCCAGCCCCTCCACACCATCCTGCCAACAAGTCATCCTGCCAGGGCCGGACTCAAGCGAGAGGTGGAGCAGTACATCAAGAGAAATGCAGTGCTGAAAAAATGCTCAGAAACCTGTAAGATCGGACACCAATCTGCCAAAAGGGATCCTTGTGCTTGTGTTTGCAACAGTAATCAGCACATCAATGCCAACTGCTGTCCTACAGGAAAAGGTCTGGCCACACTGAAAGTGTTTGGGCTCTATGCACGAGGTTTGTATGGTGATAAGTGGACCAAGACAGATGGTTCAGTGGAGGTGAAGTATGACCATCAGATCAAGCGTACTGTCATCATCAGTAACAACGACAACCCAAAATGGCCGGAGAAGTTTCTATTTGGACAAATCACCATCAACATGAAAAACAGACTGACGTTCAGTGTGTATGATGAGGACACACGCTGGAACAGTGATCGTCTTGGCACATGTTCATTTATTCTGCGTGGTGGAAGCGTAAGTGACTCCTGTATGTTCAGTCATGGTACCTTCTTCTTCTCCTACATAGTGGAGTGTGCAGTTGGTCTTGGTGGTGACCAGTGTCAGGAGTACAAGCCCGCCCCTATGAGTGAATCTCTGGCCAAGGTTTTCTACACCAGAAACGGGGTCCTTAGTGGAGAGGTGGGAATGAAAATGGAGGCCAGTGAATCAGTCATTCAGGTTGAGGTCAACTGATTTCATAATTATGTCGTTTTAGTGAAAATGATCTTTCCTTTTTTTTTTTTTTGTGAGAGTGACTTCATCTTAAAACAGCAATACATTTTCATTCAGTTCCTTCCACCATTCATCACACATGGTCAATCATAACATTTGCTCTGACACACTTTGTTCTGCTTTTGTCCTCTTTGCTACAAAGTCTGCAAATAAAGCATCGCCAAAGACAACACAACTGTCTGTCAGATTTTATTCTGTAGTTATATTCTGCTTGGAAATTGTCAATACAAAATGTGTCATGCTTTTCCCTTCTCTTACGTTGAAATGCAATAAAACCTACAGGTAGTCTGATCATAGTGTAAACCTTATCTCCTGTGTGGCAACTTATTTTGCAGTCAAGCCAACTTTAAATAAAGGATGCCCCCCCCCCCCCCCCCAAAAAAAAAAGGGGGGGGGGGGGCAGAAAAATTATGATAAAATGCTGCAGTGCAATTTAAAAATATAATTTGACTATCATGTTATAACGGTGATGCTGTTATATCTTAAATAAATGCAGGAGGGATGAAATGTATTACAATCATGTTAAATGGCAGACAATATCAAGTAACCTGTTATTATTTCTAAAGGGATCTATTCAAATCGCTAGTCCACCAAAAATAATAGCACTGTTGATCTGAAATGTTAAAAAAGAGGTGAGGCACATTCGTTATCTAATTTACTATTTGCAAACTTGTTGTAATAATGTTTCTTTGAAAAACATATGAAATTAATGTGACTGTTAAACCTGAATGTGAAATGTGAATTCTAAATAATAAATGTTAAATTTTAGAGTTTTAAGTATAATATGTAATGTTAGGTTCGAATGCACAAAATGAATCCGGATGTTAAATGTTAAACATTAATTCAATGTTAAAGTTCAGTGCCATTATTTAGAGGCAGTACTTTCCTTTAAGACACATATGTCAGAGTCAAGGCCCGCGGGCCACATCCGGCCCGCGAGAAGGTTTTTTACGGCCCCTGGGATGATCTTGATTTATTATTAGAACCGGTCCGCAGACCGCAGCAAGCCGGCAGCCCGCAGATCTTTTACACGCACCAATACTACATTTCCCACAATGCAACGGTGACGCACCGAGCAGTAGGCTGCTTCATTTCAATATTTATTAGCACAGCAGTCGTCAGCATAACAGTAAAATTAACTTTCAGATACCCATCAAAAATGGCAAAACGGAAGGTGGACACTGAGAACCGGGGGTTTCAAACAAGGTGGGAGTCTGAGTATATGTTCACGGAGGTAGCTGGAAAACCTGTGTGTCTTCTGTGTGGAGAAAGTGTGGCGGTACTGAAAGAGTATAATCTGAGACGACATTATGAAACGAAACACGCGGACAAAAACAAAATTATATTTTGAAAATAATTCAGTTAAGTGGATGATAGAAAATTGCTATTATTTTTTTCTTTGAAGTAAATTTAGCCCACTTTTGCTAAAATAGAAAATATAGGCTACTGATGGTGCCTTGAATAATACCGGTTTCTTTCATTTAATGTTCATGTTATGGGGATTTTTATATAAAGGAAATTTGTCTTTTGTGTCTGTTGAAAATTAAAGATTACTGACAGAGCCAGAAGAAAATATTGCTTTATTTATCTGATCATATTGGAATATATTTGTTAGGTTTTCAGTAGGTTCAATTAGGTTCACTAGACTATATGCGTCATTTAAAAAATTTTCAATGAACATTCCATCAGTCCGGCCCTCGGCTTGTAGCTAAATTTTTTATTTGGCCCTCCGTCCATTTGACTTTGACACCCCTGCTTTAAGAAAACCTGTTGGGAAATTACTGTTTAAGAGGCGTTTACAACAATGGCTCTTTTCATGTCAGTGGTTGCTGTCGTAACCTTCCTCCTGCGTTAGCTTTTACTACGCACCCGCTATGTTAAGGGCTGGTTTCGACCCGTGTCTTAAATCAGCTACAAGTTACACTAAAAACATTTCTCTATCATCCAGTTTGGTTCTAATCTCAAGGTTACCTTGTTAGGCTTCATTATCGATGAAATATTGCTTATAATATTATTTGTTGTGGGTCTCTGGGCCTTCCTTTGTCAGTATACCCTTATATTGATATCTTTACTGAATTGATCTCACATGTCTGGACATGCCCAACGTTGTTTTTTGCACAGGGAAAATATAGCAAAATGAGAGTTTACTAAATCTCACATGATTGGAAGAGGATCTGACTGTCAGTGTGGTGCCTGGCAGTGCACATATGATTTTAGCTTTGGCTCTCATTATTGGATATTAATCTAACCGGGTCAACAGCGACTCTAACATGACAAGTGCCATAATTTTAATAAGAGCATTTTATAATTTAGTCAATTTAATTTTTAAAATTTTTACTCTGTAGAAATAGAGGTTCCCGACAAAGTCAAAACCTCTTGATGCAAAATAGCTAATTTAAGTGGATCTGTTAAGCATTTAAATCAAAAACGGGTTGGTGCAGATCCTAACACACGAGGAGGGTTAAGTCTGCAAAAGCTATCTGCTAAAGCACTTAAAGATGCAATGTTGGATTTGACAGGTCTCTGATGTTTTGGGGTATCTGAGCTCATCTTATTGAATGATTAAACTTCAGCCCAGATATGTCTCTTTCATCAGCTTAAGGCTGTGGGACAAGCAAACACAGAGTATAGAAATGTGTGAATTAAAACCAGTTCAATGTGTCCATAGCAGGGTTTTCTGCAACACCTAAGCAGAAGTGCATCGGGTTTGTGTGGCCTCAGACAGACACCCTGTCATATATCACCAAATTTTGGTTGACTTGTGTGGCAGAAGTGTGAAACGTTCAAGCAAACTAAGAGTCAGTGCTTCCTTTAAACCTCTTTACACAGACCTCAAATATTGGTTTGATTAGTGATTTGCATATTTGTGATGCACTTCCATACATTGTGGGGCTGCTGTGACTAAATGGTAGTTGGGCATCTCTTAATCATAAAGTCAGCAGTTCAGTCCCAGTTGATTTAATTCTCATGCTGAAATGCCCATGGACAAAACACTGAACCCCATATTGCTCCCAGGGACACAGCCAGCAGTCCTCATGAATGAAATTAGTTAAAACTGAAAGGCACTTTATCAGTTGACACAAACCCAGATATTTCTGACATGTTGTTTTCCTTTAGTATTACCAAAGCAGCTCATACTGACAGCTGACAAGTTTTAGTTAACACCACTGTCACATCTTTTGATGGCAAGAGGACAACCACATCAGAGAGGGGCAATCTAATACAACAGTTTATTAGCATACCAGAACATTGCTAAACACAAAGACCCAAAGTTCAGATCAATAGACAGTGTACAATACATTTATCACCCATCATGTCTGTTATTAGCACCTCTTTTGGAATCTTGGAGAAGTCTTACAAAAATAGCCTAAAAGAGGTCAAACTAGATGTTGCCTGACCACACTGTGAACTCCCTGTTTTTCATGAGATGTTTCCTCAATGTACAGTTGTTTGCACAATTCAATTCTGTATGCTTTCTTAAAACCAAAGGGGACCTTTAGACTGAATTCAACCCTGGGTTAAAGCACATCAGCTGATCTCCAAGCACATTTTTTCTTGAGGCACCACTGAAACAAGTATGTACTAGCATGCAGGAAATAAATAGGGAGCTTTTTGAGCTGCAAATTATATAAACTACATCATATGTGTCCCAGATTGACATAATAGGAATGGGAAATTATAATGAGACATTTTTACTGTTGAATACAATGCAGTTTGACATGAAGCAACCAGACATAGTTTGACAAGTATATTACAGGTTAAGATAGGATATAATTTGAGACCATACTTAAAGGAAACCAAAAAATAGAATTAGGTATGAGTTGATCACACAAGACGTGACACTTGAGAATACAGAGAGTCGCTAAATCTGGTTGTTACTGAGCTGCAGTATGATATACTACAGTGTATTGTATGAAACAATAGAAATCCCTTTTCTCCTGTTGTGTTCTTCTACTGTAATTTCTACTGATACAGATGTATTTATATACGTCCTGAGCCACTATAATGTTGTTACAACACTGTTCAGTGCTGCTTTAGCCTATCTGCAGCATCACACTCCTTATTTATTTTCCTGGTTTGCAGCTGGTATCACTTTTTAGTCTGCATGAAAAAGTAAATAGCAACACAGTAAAAGCACCTGATGGTCAATAAAGACAAGGCAAACCTTGGTTTCATGTTAATTCATGACCAGAAGAATATACATATAACATGGGTTTACTCTCATACCAATAGACAAACTTTTGTTACTGTGTTATAAGCATTCAAAAGCTGCTTTTCAAGATGGCATAAAGGTTCTTAGTTGCATGATACTGAAATTCAGTAACAGTACAAAGGAAGTTTGTAAAAGCCACAGCAGTGACTTCATTTCCTCCAGAGGCTTAGCAGCTTTAGTGTGTGTGCTTGAGTCCTCACACTATTCTCCAGCTCCATGAAACACTTAGTTGTCACCTTTTCTGTCAGGAAACAGTTTGGTGAGCTCTCAACAAATGATGAGAACAGAGTGCAACATGCAGCATTACTTGCATGATTGTTTTTATGCTGAACTGCTTGACCTGTATAGAAGTAACTAGCAGCGGAAGTTTAATCATACAGCACATTTAAAACAGCAATCAAAGAAATGATCCAAAGATGAGGATTAGACATAATTTTGAGGTGTTCCATCTTTTCTTTCGACTTCTAGTAGCTGATTATGGTTTTAGAGACAATTTAACATATTCTGGATATCCTGTAATGGTTTTAACCATTTCACCATGTTTTTGTTCCCACTTGTCAAAATGCTCCGTATGTTTACTTTCCTATAATACACAAGCCAGAGCCAAAGGTCCTAACCTTTTGACCACCAAAAACAGAAGATTTATTGCTGACTTGCAAAAGCATTATGTCTCTGTCTCTGTCTAAGGCTCAGAATCAAACTAAAGACAGTGGCACCATCTTGTGGACAAACAAATGGCGCCAGGGATAAAATAGATTCATTGATGAAAATAAGAGTTGGAAGGAAAATGAAGCACACTAAAAACAGATAGAGCTTTAATGTTGTACATTTCCAAAGCAGAGTGGATGACAATACATATTTTAGACCTAGGGTGATGTTCTCCAGCCACCTTCAGACCAGATTGTCTACAACAAGGTTAAAGTAATATCAGACAACAAGCTGAGATGATACTAGAGAATAGAAATATTTACAGAAAAGATTGTCAGAGTTATCATGACACTGGACTCATGATTATCAAATATTGTACTGTTCTTGTGAGGGTGAAAATACAACACATTAAAAGGGTAATTTAAAATTACAGTGTCATCATGTATTATGTAAATTGTGTGCAGAGGGAAATTTATTTGAAATATAGTATACTTAGTATGCACAAGATGTCAATTGAAAACACCAGGTTCCCCCGTTGTGTTCTCATCTTAACCAGCAGAGTGAAGGTTAAACATAAAAAGTGTCAGAATTATGCTAGACCCCACCCCCACATTAACACAATATCAAGAGCCAGTTACTGATGCTTCTGGGCAGAGCTTGCTGTCAACGGTCAAGGTAAGACCACAGAGTTTTCTGAAACAAAGAGTTTAATTTTCCTTTAAAATCAAATTATTCCATTTGTTAGCTCAGTATTATCTGATTTCAGTTAAAATACTGAACAATGGTTACTGACTGATTCTTTTGTTTATATCAGTTTTGGTGTCCACGTTGTCAAACCCTTCTCTGTAGATGGCTAAGCTTTGGCTTCTCTTGCTCCTGTGCTGGGCATGGAGTCCTCTGTGTGTGCCGTCCAGTATCAGCTTCACTGGTACTCCTCAGGAGTGTGAAAAGGCTCACTTTGTGCCTGGCTACAACCTGGGAGGAGAAGGTTTTGACATTGTCACAATGGAGCGGAAAGGGGCCTATGTAATTGATACTGATTCCTGGAAGCTCGGCAATGGCACCTGCAAGCTTTACAGAAACTCCTACATGAAGGGTGAAATCCAGAAGGTCCCGGCTGCAGTGGAGGACTGGAGAGTCCTTCCCAAGTGCAGTTCAAAAATCTCCAGTACAGTCTATGACTCAGCTGAAACCCTTGTCAATGCGTCCACATCGTCTGTGTCCAATGACTGGAAAATCGGCCTTGACATCCCTGTGCCTAGTTCTGCCACTCTTGGGGTTGGCTTTGGAGGTTCCCACTCCAGAGAATCTACCTTTGCCATGGAGAAGTCCAAAAGAGACCACTACACCTTCATGAGGCACTCAGTCCACTGTAGCTTCTACCGGTGAGTACGCAGTCAGATTTTTTAACCATCCTGTCACAAACTCCACATGCCTCTGTGTGCCTCACTGAGAGATGTTAATATAAGGCTGTGATAGACTGAGACTAATGTTGCATTTCTCATGCTTCGTAGATACAGAATGAAAACCAATCCGTCTTTGAGTCCTGACTTTCAATCAGCAGTGAGCTCCCTTCCTCCATATTCATCCAAAACAGCCCTGACGTATCGCAGAGCCATCGACACCTATGGTACACATTACATCACACAGGTGTATCTGGGAGGGGAAATAAAAGCAACCACTTCAGTCAGGACCTGCGAGTCATCCATTAATGGACTTTCCACAACCGAAGTCAGTGACTGTTTGTCAGTTGAGGCCTCAGCCAGCTTTGTGAGCACTGCCAGCATCAAGGCTATGACCAAGCACTGTGATGCAAAAAAGAAGAAGTTAGGCCATGGTCAGAGTTTTAGCAGTACATTTAGTGAGCGCAGCACTGAGGTCACTGGAGGAGATATTACTGAAGCTAATGTCCTCTTTGAAGGGCAGGCCAACCCTACTGTCTATAACAACTGGCTCCGTTCACTGAAATACACACCTGATGTGATTCAATACAAAATCCAGCCCCTCCACACCATCCTGCCAACAAGTCATCCTGCCAGGGCCGGACTCAAGCGAGAGGTGGAGCAGTACATCAAGAGAAATGCAGTGCTGAAAAAATGCTCAGAAACCTGTAAGATCGGACACCAATCTGCCAAAAGGGATCCTTGTGCTTGTGTTTGCAACAGTAATCAGCACATCAATGCCAACTGCTGTCCTACAGGAAAAGGTCTGGCCACACTGAAAGTGTTTGGGCTCTATGCACGAGGTTTGTATGGTGATAAGTGGACCAAGACAGATGGTTCAGTGGAGGTGAAGTATGACCATCAGATCAAGCGTACTGTCATCATCAGTAACAACGACAACCCAAAATGGCCGGAGAAGTTTCTATTTGGACAAATCACCATCAACATGAAAAACAGACTGACGTTCAGTGTGTATGATGAAGACTCTAGTTGGAACAGTGATCTTCTTGGCACATGTTCGTTTATTCTGCGTAGTGGAAGAGTACGTGACTCTTGTATGTTCAATCACGGTACCTTCTTCTTCTCCTACATAGTGGAGTGTGCAGTTGGTCTTGGTGGTGACCAGTGTCAGGAGTACAAGCCCGCCCCTATGAGTGAATCTCTGGCCAAGGTTTTCTACACCAGAAACGGGGTCCTTAGTGGAGAGGTGGGAATGAAAATGGAGGCCAGTGAATCAGTCATTCAGGTTGAGGTCAACCGCTGATGTGACAACATCTGATGGTTAACAAGGGTTAAGATCAGAACTTGATTTCATAATGATCTCACTTATAGTAGAACATCTTTGATCTATAACTTCTTTCTTTATTCTATTACTCCTGTCTCAAGTTTCCAATATTATTACAAGTTTTTTCAACTTCTCAAGCAGTGAGCTGTAATGTTTGTCCTCATCCTTGCTTTTCTGCTTCTGTCCTGTTAGTAACAAATCTGGCAAATAAAGCATCAACAAAGACAAAACAGCTGTCCTTCTGTTTGAATGTCTGATTTCACTTCATGGTTCATGGTTTTATTATGAATATATATATATATATATATATATATATATATAGGTTATCATAGTGACATTTTTAACCTGATCAAAGCATTTAAAACATCTGAGTGTTCAAAAGTGCTACAGTTTGGGGAACGGAAACCTAAGAAGGGGGAGTAGTGGCACATCAGTACCAAAGACTGTGGGTGGAGGTTTGGTTGAAAAAGAAGTTTAGAGGAAAAGATAGCTGTAATTATTCTGTAAGGGCCTTTCTGAATGACAAGCCCTGTAGCACAGAAACATTTCAAAGTAATTCACATGAAAACATCCACTCTTCCCAGCGACATACTGGAGACAACAATCAATGAATTGTCAATGAAACATAAAATAACTGACAGAAACAAAGTCATATATGATACAGCATTTTAGTCATCGTGATCAATGTAACAAACTGCATGAGGAGCACGTCAAAGGGGGTTTGTGCAACATTATGGTGGTCATCAAAGCTGTTATCACAGATGCAGCATGTGTCAAGTGTGCTCAGAATCTTTCCATGTCGGGTATTTAATTAAGTGCAGACAGTGAGAAGCTGTGCTTTAGTGCTGTGTCTGACTTTACCGGTGTTATGCTGATAATCCCACCTTCTTATTTCTGTCAGCTGTCACTGAGCACAATTTTTCACCATACATTTTTGAGGTATTCAAGTTTGTCTTATTAAATAAAGATACTTGAACGCAGAAGTTTTTCACAGTTTCTCTTTTTTCCCCTTTAATTTGCATGACCAGCTACCCACAGAATTAAAATCTATGAATTACATCTAGTGTAACATGTTGATGGCAGGGTTATCTGCAGCAGCTTACAAGAAGTGCATCGTGCTTATTGCCAAAAATAGACATAATGACCGTCAGTTTGTTAAGAACAGCGCCCTGTGTTGACACATTGGTGAGCTTGTGAGGCAGAAGTGTGAACCCCTCAGCTCTGCCCTTCTCCTAAACCTTTTGATGAGTGTCAAGTAAAATTTTTTACTTTGAAGACAACTACCTCTGGCATATTGTAAGTTACAAAACTGTATGAAAACAACTAAAGTAACAGATAGGAAGTCTAGAAAATACAAGCCATTTGTAAGAAGCACCAGCTCAGATGTTTTTAGCACAATATCAGTATTTTATTTTTTTTAAAGTTATACAGGCACAATGAGACAGTAAATTGTTGATTGCAAAGATTTTTGTTAACTTGCAAGCATGTCTTCAGACTAAAGTAAAGCCAATTAAGAGAGGAGCAGTCTAATGGGAAAAATAAAATTCACTTCAGGGATTAATAAAGTTCTTCTTCTTCTTCTTCTTCTTCTTCTTCTTCTTCTTAGTATAGGCCAGCAAGAACACTGCATAACTTCAATGCAAAACATGAAAATCCTCACAAGACAGTTTAACATGTTCAGCTTATCAAAATATAGCACTCCCTGTTTTTGCTATTAACACGATAATTTTCTCACTTCTAAGGGGAAGTCCTGAAATATAACAGACCAAAGTAATGTCGCCTGATCTCAAAGTCAGCACCCCTTTTTTCACCAGTTGTCTCATCAGTGAAGTTGTATTATATTGAATCTCTCTGTATGTCTTATCAATCCTAAATTTGGTCTTCAGACTAAAATCTGCTGAGTTCAATCAAAGAAGAATGGTTGGCTATTGGTATGTTTTCTTGATGTACCACAAAAACACAGAAATTGTCTTTTTAAGTTTTGTGATAAAAGATCAACCATTATGGTAGCTGATTACTTATCTTGTTTCCTCTGTGTTCTCCACCTATGCTAGCTTCACTGCACAATTTCTCACACTTTCAGTGGGGGAGCCACCCTGTTGTTCACAGGTTTGACCAGTTTGCCAGATCTTAAAGCTCCTTCCAAGCCTTCAGGACATAATGACATAATGATTCACAACACCATCACCTGAAACACATTGATAGGAGTGAGAATTAAACAGTGTAAGACATTTTAAAGAACAATAGATTCTAGTTTGTAGACAAAGATCGATCTTAGAACTGGCAAAGTTGGGTGAGTCTATCTTCAAAACATTACTTATTATAGTATCTTCAAAAAGGTTCAGGACATAATTCACTGGGGTTGCATAGTCGAGGTTAGTAGCCTATCACATTAAAAGGCAATTCCGGCATAAGTTTAAGTCATGTCCAAACACACCTTAACACTCAGTTAGACACCCCGTCGAGAGATGAATTTTGCTGACTGCTTATGCTGTGTTTGAGTTACCTCAGAAGTCAGATGTCAGAGCTGAAAATGCCTAGTCCAAATGTAATCAAGAACAAGGCAAGCACTAAAATAACTTTCGTAGATTTAGCCATCTTGTTTCAGGCCTCCAATTTTGCTTTTTTCCAACTTTGTAACTCAAACGCTGGTAACTCAGGTGTGACGTCATTTTCAGCACGGATTTCTGACTTCCAAGGTAACTCAAATGCAGCATTTGCTCTTATCTGGTCTACCTCCGTTTTAAGCGCCCGTTAATCCACCAGAGTCTCTGGTATTTACTTAGTTTTATTGCTTGTGTTTTCTTGTCTGGTTTCTACTGTCCAATGTTGTAGCAGGCTAACTTTGTTTGAAATTGCACATTATTGGAGGACCTAGAGCGTGCCTCACAACACGAGGGAGCAGTGTCTGCCTCACAACCAATCAGCACTAAGGAGCAGCATCCGCGTCACAACCAACTAAGTTGAGGAGGCAGAGAATGGCTTTGTTTACTGTCAGAAAGAGCGGGCCACGCAAAAAATTTAAAATGTTGACTACACAGACATAACAGAACACAGCGATATCATTATATTACCAAATGTCATCAATAACTAATAACTATCGACTGATATTAAAAGCTTTTTTTAAACACCACAAAAAAGATGCTTCTTAAAACGGAATCCTACCTACCCCACCTTTAAGGGCTCTAAAGTCAGGCCTTCTGAGAAAATTTACCACGGTTGGCTACGCACTCATGCAATTTGTGCAGCGCAGCCCGTACACTGTCAATTTGCGAAATGGGTAAACTGAGCTGCACCAAGATGCACCAGCATGGGTTTGGCAGTGCAATAGGACACGGCGCCCCCTTCTGACCATTCTGTTTAGCAGGAGCACACTGTAATGTTGGGCAGATACACAGAACTGGCAGGGCAAAGATGTTTCAAGAACCTAGCTTTTATTGACTATCACTTGAAATAAATAAATAAATAAAAGACTCAAAACGAAACTTTTCAACATTAAATGCCAGTCAGCTATTGGCTTTATTGTCAGTTTGCCTTTATTGCCTTTCTAATTTTATTCTCTGCCATCTCTTACTTTCTGTTTTATTGTGTTGCGAAGCATTGTCTCAGTTGTATTGAAAACTGCAATACAAATAAAATTATTTTTTTTTAAGTATTATCAGTATCCACTAATTTCACTCATATACACTGGATAAACTGCTGGAGATGGAGTCTGGACCTGGGACATTGGTTTTTCCTTCATGTCTCATTTGATTCTTGTACAGCTTAGGAAATGTCTTTTCCACAGACTGCAACTGAGAATCAAGAATTACATTTTATACCTAAGCCAATAGCACCATCTTCTGGACCTCATTTATAAGTACAGTTAATGACCGTACGTTTTTGTCCCAGATTTATTTCTATTAACCGCCTTCAGACAAAACTGTGCAACTAAATAATGATAAAATAATATCAGACAACAGGGTGAGCTAGTGCTTAAGGGAGGGAACATTTTCACTTCATATTCCAGGGTTATTAAAACATTAGACCTACCATTTTAAAAGTAGGAACTTCTTTAGCAAGAATGAGACTCTTAAACAGAACAGTGGTAGTTTTATACAATAACTCACATTGTCATAATATGTTATGTGGTTAAATGATGAGCAGTAAACCAATATATCTAAAACATGGTTCAATAACATGGTTTGGTGAAGTGATACTGTTTGCCACAGCACAAAAAGAAATATTCTTTACTTTTTTCACCGTAAAGTAGTCACCAAGAAAAGAGAGGAATTTATCAGAGTAAAGCCTTTTAATCATTAACAATTCAATGATATCGCAACACTCCTTGGACAGTCGTTTTTCACACAGCCTTGAGGATGACAGTTGGAATTCTGGGTAGCTGCTTTATGTAGAGATTTACTTGTAAGACAACAGGAAGTGCTTTTTTTGTTGTTTTTGCAGGTGTAGATGCCATCAAGATCTTAAAACTCATGAGTAATTGTGAAGGCTGTATCTGCTTTCTAAAAAACACTTTGGTACACTGTTCTTGTAAAAGTAGTTGTGCTTCCTCTTTGAGGTTGCAGCAGTGCTTTCAGTCTCACAGAAAGTACTGGAGCATATGACCACAATGAAAACAAAGCTTCCTGCTTAGCTTACTTGAAACTACTTTAAGGCATAAAATGAGGTCATGGGCATTTGTCTTGAAGCCGTTGAGAGGATGTTTGAAGCTGTCATTGAAGCATTTGTATTGAGGCATTGAGGCTGCTGTCAATGATTGTAGATGATTGTGGTGGACTTGTTTATTATCAGGGAGCAGAAGCTGACATTGTGAAAAGCATATAATATCTTCTTTCATTTGACAACACCCAGAAAGATGTTTGAGTTACTAGAGAAATATGTGTGTCTGTGAGGGTGGGAACAACAAATTGTGGCTCTCTTATTGCCTGAATGTATAGATGCATAGGAATGTCTTTGTCTTGTATACATGTGTGCTTTATAACTCACACTGCTAAAAGTGTCCACTGTAGGATACATTTCTGAGGGTGCTAGAGTGCATGTTCAAAAAGGGCACAGGCGAGTCCTCTAAAGAGTTGGACCAATCAGTCCCTCTGTGTACCAGCACGCCTCCTCTCTCTGTTATAAATAGATCAATTCCCTCATGTCACACAGCTTCACTTCAAGAACTTCAGTTTTGACAGAAGGGAGAAGACACACTCTACAAAGACAGACCAGAGCTGATAAACACAGT